ACATTCAACAAATGTTTAATATCTGCCTATTTCATGTAAGGACTTAACTTCTATGACAGAGATACCTATTATTTCTTTTTATTTTCTTTTTCCATCAATTTATTGCTCAAATAACAACCCAAACATTCCAGAAGAAAACTTCAATGGAGCAAGCATAACACTAATATTTTCTTGGTGATTTACAGTTTACTGAGCATTCTCATAGCCAGTTTCTGTTCTCAGTGCTAAAATCCATCAGACTGTGAACTTCCAAAGAGCAAGAAGCAAGAACCTTGTCTGTCTGCTGAATGTTGCAGCCCCAGTCCTAGAGCAAGGCTTCCCACACACATACCCCTTCAACAAGTAAATGAGTGAGGCCCAGAGGCTATCAGGGAATTACTGTTTTTCATTTTCCACGTAATTAAACTGAGGATCAGAAAACTAATCTTTCTAAATCTCTTGACTGGCAAGTAGCAAAAGCAGATGAAACAAAATCATGGTCTAGTAACTTTTAGATCTATGCTTTTATCAATTACTTCACTGAATCTTCTTGCACACAAAATACAAAAGAATATGGCAGATCCTCAAAGAATTAAACATAGAATACCAGTATGATCCAGCAATTTCAGTTCTGGGTACATGTCCAAAACAGGTGAAAACAGGGACTTGAGAAATACTTGTACACTTAGGTTCATTGAAGTGTCAGTCACAACAAACAAGAGGTGGAAGCAACCCATATGACCATCAACAGGTGAAAGTATAAACAAATGAAATATTCAGCATTCAAAAGGTAGAAATTCTGACACATGATACAACATGGATGAGCCTTGATAACAAGGTAAATAGTCACAAAAAGATAAATACTGTGATTTTACTGAGATGAATTACTTAGAGAAGTTAAATTCTTACAAACAGAAAGTAGAATGGTACTTGCTAGGGGTTGGGGAAAGAAGGGAATGAGAGTTGTTTAATGGGAACAGAGTTCAGTTCTTCCACAAGATAAAAAAATTCTCAAGATCTACTGCACAATTTGAACATTCCCACAGTATTGAATTGTACACCTAAAAATGATTAAGATGGTAAATTTTGAGTTATGCATATTTTATCACTATTAAAAATGAAAATTTGGGCTGGGGTTGTGGCTCAGTGGTAGGGCACTTGCCTAGTATGTGTGAGGCCGTGGGTTTGATTCTCAGCACTGTGTATAAATAAATAAAATAAAGGTCCATTGACAACTAAAAAAATTTTTTAGATGAAAAATTTAAAAGTTTCAGAAGAAAATCATAAAAATTAAGGATTCCACACTGAAACAAACCTCTCTTCCCCTCTTTACTCTGAACTGTTAACAGCCTCTTTCTCTGTTTCTTCTGCAGTAAAGATTCCAAATAACAACCCAAACATTATATTTTTTATTTCTTTTTTTTTTAATGTGGTTCTGAGGATCAAAGACAATGCCTCTCACATGCTAGGCAAGCACTTCACCAATGAGCTACAACCCCAGCTCTTGTATATTTAGTTTGATAGTAGGGTATAAGGTGGTGAGAGAGATTCCAGTTATTTTTAAGATGACTAAAATCACAGCAGATTTGTACGAAAAGAAAAAGCAGGTAAAGTGCTTAGATTTTGGGCTGCCACTGTGTGCATTGTAATGCTAGTGATTAGTTTAAGAAAGAGAGTGAAGGTAGTTGACAAGGGGGCTTGCACAAAAGGCACAGATATGGTGGGAGGAAGCAAATGGGTTTAGGGACTGCAAGAACAATGTTGTATTGATAGAACAAATATCAAGCAGAAATTTGGTCATAGAACTTGCCAGATGATACTGAGTGGCTTATGTTCTATCCAAGTCCGTTTCCCCATTCTTCCTGGCATTTTTTCCCTACTACTCTATGAAACAGTTCTCCTGCCTCAGAAGACCACTTCCTTTTTAAGTCAAGGGCCAACTCTGGGCCTTATCTAGTCCATGGTTGCCATGTCCCCCTTTGCCAAGTCTGCTCACTTGCCTGCCTCACACCTAAATCCTATCTGTTGGCTCCTCTTCAGCTTCCTTCCCTGCCCAGACTAGAAACTTCTTCATATAAACCAATGGCTCAGGGTCTTGGGGGTTTACTTTTATTTAATAGAAATTCTTTTTGCTATTTGGCAAAAGAAAAAAAAGTTATTTGTGCTTAAACCTAGTGTTTCAATATTTCCAAGAACTTTGCTCTTAAAAACTACTGACAGGGGCTGGGGCTATAGCTCAGTGGTAGAGCACTTGACTAGCATGCATGAGGCACTAGGTTTGATCCTCAGCACCACATAAAAATAAACAAATAAAATAAAGGCATTATGTTCATCTACAACTACCAAAAAATTTGGAAAAAAAACTACTGACAAAAATAGATCTCCATGTCAAATATTTCAATCTCCTCCCTTTCCTGTCAACATTCGCTTGGGCATCTAATCCAGTCTAATGGCTTCAAATACTCTCTCAGTGCTTATAACTCCTCACTTCTATTTCAGGGTGCCCTCCACCTGAAAGGCCCACTCATATATTACACTTCTATTGAACAACATCACCAGGGTGTCTAATGAACAATCCAAATTCATGTTCCAGAACAGAATTCCTCATTTTCCTTCCCAAGCCTGCTCCTTTCATCATCTTCTATGCTTGAAAAGAATCAATTATAAAAAAAATGTGATATTAGAATGTAAGTACTATAGAAATATAAAAACAACTTATTCTAAGTGAGGTGATCTTAACTGATGTCTAGGAGAGGGTGATTCTTGAATGAGTATAGAAATGAATGCTGATTGTTTTAGTCAGCTTTTCCATCACTGTGACCAGAAGACCTGACAAAAATTATTTTAAAGGAGAAAACATTTGTTTAGTGGCTTATGTTTTCACAGATGTCAGTCCACAGATGGCAGGCTTCATTGCTCTGAGCCTGAGGTGAGGCAGAACATTATGTCAGAAGGGTGTGATAAAGGAAAGCAACCCAGAACAATACACCAGGAAGCAATGAGAGACACTCTGCTCACCAATGACCAAATATTTAGTCCAAAAACCTACTCCCAGTCACCCCTTGTTTCAGTCATACCCTGATGGCCTACAGTTTCCACCCAGTTAATACCTATCAGAGAATTAATTAGGTTAAGGATCTCATAATCAAATCCTTTATCATATGAGCTCTTTCTTGCATTGTCTTATACATTATCTGTTTGAGGATGCCTAGTACCTAAACCATAACACTAATAAATTATTAGTCTTTTCTGTGGGACAGCTGTTGTTTTAAATGCTTCGAATATATAACTTTTGAAATCAACACAACTACCCTCTGAAATAGAGTCATCGATTTCAATTTGCTATTAAAGAAGTAAAGATCCACATAGGTCTTTAAAAAAAATCAAAGATTTTTAGGAAAGAATTCTAAATTTTAGTTAAAATTACACTTTTTATTAATAGTATATTTTATCTAATCTGATTGCTATGAATAACTATAGTTTACATGTAACTAACTTAAAATAAGTTTTAATAAATAGTAAAGTATTATTTAATAAGTATTATATATTTTCATGATCATTATAATTATTTTTATGTTCTTGATGTTTTGACTGGATTTAAACCGAGGATATTCATTTGTCAATGAGAAAAGTAATTGAATGAAAATGCATGGGGTGAAGAAAAGAGTCGTATAAGGGAGCACAGAATCAGTGATATGAAATGCAGGTGAGTGAAAATATTTGAAGTGTTATGAAAATGTTTCAATTATTCCAATAGGATTTAGGGAACCAATTATGAGATTTAAATAAAATTGACATAATTACTGACTGCTTATAAACATAATTTCAATAATATTTTGGATAGTAACAATAATGGTATAGAAATTAAATGAGGATAAATTATTTCACAAATAATCAAAATAATTCACTTGCAAACCAAGTGTTTGAATTAGAAAGATATCATGAGCATATAACAATAAAAAAGTAGTAACAACAAAAAAGTAAACAATAACTCTGAAGTTTCTAGCTTGAGTCATGTTAATATCTTTAAATTTTAGAAGAAATAAAATAATGGAAACCCATTCTCAAGGGAGGAAAGGTTTGATTTAGATATACTGAGGTAACACCATAAAATTATCATGTGAAGGTTCTAAATAAGACTAGCAGAAGTAGAATGTAGTTGAAGTTACTGTAGTAAATATAAGTGAATAAAAGCAGAAGAAAAACATAACATGAAAAACAAGAGACTGATGAGGGGGAAGAGAAGTTAGAGATGAAAGACATTTATGTACACATGATAGAAACTTAAGTAAAATAGTTTCTGGTGATTTGGAAAATATTTCCTGGAGGATTGCAGATGCCCATTACATTTTCTGTTTCTTTTTATTTAAAATTTTAATTAGGTGTATATAACAACAGAATGCATTTTGATTCATTGTGCACAATTGCAACACAACATTTCTATGGTTGTATACAATGGAGCATCACACCATCTGTGCAGTCATACATGTACCTAGGGTAATGATGTGCATCTCATTCCATCATCTTTCCTACCTCATTCTTCCTTCCCACCCCTACCTCACCTTTGCACCATCAAAGTTTCTCCATTTTTCTCATGTCTCCCCCATTATGAAACAGCATGTTCTCACTTATCAGAGAGAATATTTGTGTTTTCGGGAGATTGGCTTACTGTATTTAGCATGATATTCTCCAATTCCATCAATTTACCTGAAAATGCCAAAATTTTATTATCTTTTAATGCTGAGTAATATTCCATTGTGTATATATACCAATTTCTTTATCCATTTATCTAATGAATGGCATCTAGTTGCTTCCACAGTTTAGCTACTGTGAATTGAGCTGCTGTGAAGATTGATATGGCTTCATTACTATAGTATGCTGATTTTATGTCCTTTAGGTATAAACCAAGGAGTGGGATAGCAGGGTCAAATAGTGGTTCCATTCCAAGTTTTCTAAGGAATCTCTATACTGCTTTCCATATTGGCTGCACCAATGTACAATCCCACCAGCAATGAATGTGTGTGCCTTTTCTTTCACATTCTCACAAACATTTATTGTTGTCTGTATTCTTGATAACAATCATTCTGACTGGAGTGAGATGAAGTCTTAAAGCAATTTTGATTTACATTTCTCTAATTACTAGAGGTGTTGAACATCTTTTCATATATTTGTTGATTGGATTATCTTCTGGTAAGTGTCTATTCAGCTCCTTAGCCCATTTATTGATTGGATTGTTTGTTTTTTGATGTTAAGTTTTCTGAGTTCTTTATATATCCTGAAGATTAGTGCTCTATCTGATGTGCATATGGCAAAAATTTGCTCCCAAAATGTAGGGTCTCTTTTCACTTCATTTATTATGTCTTTTGCTGAGAAGAAGCTTTTTAGTTTTAGTCCATCCCATTTATTAATTCTTGATTTTATTTCTGACACTTGTTAAGGAAGTCAGGGCCTAATCTAACATGATGAAGATTTGGGCCTACTTTTTCCTCTTTTAGGTATAGGGTCTCTGGTCTAACTGCTAAAACAAAAAAGAATCAGGTGATGAGGCTATGTTGAATTCATCTGTTCAAAAATAATGTCTTTGATCCAAAAAGAGATGACTGTCTGGTAGTCAGTTTTATGAACAGAACCATTGCCTGGGTGCTTGTGCAAACAAAATGTAATATTATACCAGGCAATGTATTCAATAGAATTTTATAAAAAATATCAGTGATGACTATTCCTCACACAGACAGGT